GATTATTTAAAGAAAAAAAGAAGCATCAAAAAGAAGGTTTCTTTATCTGTCTGCTGATGCTGAAGCAGAGCTGCGAAGTAATAAATGCAGTGGCGAAACCAGTTACTGTATTCATCTACCCAGTTTTGAAAATCTCTTGTACTTCACTGATCCATTTAATTTTTCATGTGGGACTTAAATTCTGCCGAGCTTGGCATTATTGCAGTTTAGTTTTGAGCTCTCATTCATTATGGGGTGTGTCCTGGGGACCAGAGCTTCCGGGGAATCTCGCCGGAAGGATAAGCAACAGTTGCCGCCGAGCACCAGAAATGACGGTGAGATTGCTTCCGCCAGTGGCACAGCAGGGCCGGCCGATGGCCGCCGGAATCACAAGAAACAGAAACATCAACCGCCTCCGCCGCAAGAGCTTTGCAATCTGAGGAGCTTTGCCACTAGCTCCGCCACCAACGAACAGGGGTGGCCGTTGTGGCTTGTCGATGTGGCTGGCGATGCGATTAAAGATTGGACTCCGCGACGAGCCAATACGTTCCAGAAGCTCGATAAGGTAATAAACCAACAGAGATATTTGTGCAATTGTGATATAGTATCTTGTTGATCAATTCCAAAGGAAGGTAAGGGATTGAAAGCCTTTATGCTGGAAAACTTACTTTTTCAAGATTTCTCTTTGGATTGCTCCAAAAAATCTGTGTTTCTTTTCATTAAATGAGTGCAACCAATGAACAATCTAATCTAAAAGCTTAAGCCGACAGATCGGTTTCATTTATTGCTATCTAACTACAGTTCTCGAAACTTTATTAGTAATATTTGTCTCTCTTCTTTTGTGTGTGTTGTGGGTATGGGCATAGATAGGGCAAGGGACATATAGCAATGTATATAAAGCAAGGGACTTGGTAAGTGGGAAGATAGTGGCATTGAAGAAGGTTAGATTTGACAATTTAGAGGCAGAGAGTGTGAAGTTCATGGCAAGAGAGATACTAGTTTTGAGGAAGCTTGACCATCCAAATGTCATCAAGCTTCAAGGATTGGTTACTTCAAGAATGTCATCAAGTCTTTACCTTGTTTTTGAGTACATGGAGCATGATTTGGCTGGCCTTGCTGCTACCCATGGTGTGAAGTTCACTCACCCCCAGGTAATGTGGTTGGAATATTTACCTTGTTTATGAAACAGGTACCTTTATTTTAAGAAACAATAACATATACTCTGTATATGACTAAAATAAGTTAATCCACAGAAATTTGACATTTACTGCGTAGTGACTTGCCAGTAGCTTAGTGTAGAGTGAAAAATTGGAGGGCCGGGGAGAAAGCTCATTCATATCTATTTTATACAATTAAACAAGATTTTCTACACATGAAAACAATATTTTACTTTTTACGAAATGAAGAAAAGCCTAGGCCCAGGTTGGCTCCCATTGTGAATGCTCATGACCATGGTCATAGACCCATAGTAATCATGGTGATGTTCTAATTCACTATGCAGTGATCATGGTGGCATTTTTGCAGTAACTATAGTGATCGTGTAGTGATATTTTTTTAAATGAATTTTGTTTTAGTAACTATAGTGAATTTTAATGCTTTGTATCATTTGTGATTGTTTTGCAGGTTAAATGCTATATGAAACAGTTGCTTTCTGGACTTGAGCACTGTCACAACAATGGTGTTCTGCATCGGGACATAAAGGGTTCCAACTTGCTTATTGATGATGATGGGATTTTAAAAATTGCAGATTTTGGATTAGCTTCATTTTATAACCCCGAAACCAAACAGCCTATGACTAGTCGTGTTGTCACCCTTTGGTATCGTCCCCCGGAGCTTCTACTTGGAGCTACTTACTATGGTGTTGGTGTTGACCTTTGGAGCGCAGGCTGCATTTTGGCTGAGCTGCTGTTTGGAAAGCCAATCATGCCAGGGAGAACAGAAGTAAATCCCTTTTCATCTTTATCTTGATGCCCCCCTTTTCTTATATCCAGGACCAGTCTGACTAAAATGGATAGAGAAGTGTTTGGTTGCATCCGTTACAGTCAAATGTAATTAAATCAAAAGCTATGTATTCTGCTGATATATTAAGCCTAAGTGTACTGCCAAACAGAGCCTTATTCTATTTGTTTATTTTTCTTCAAACATTTTTTGAGTTTCTTTATGCTTTTCTTGCTACTCTCAATTGTGTACGGAATCATATTTAGCATGAGAAAAGCTTATAATCTTTAAATGTTTAACTGGATATAGGTTGAGCAACTCCACAAAATATTTAAGTTATGTGGTTCTCCTTCTGAAGAATATTGGAAGAAATCCAAGTTACCACATGCCACAATTTTTAAACCACAGCAGCCCTATAAACGGTGTACGAAAGAGACCTTCAAGGATTTTCCACCCTCTTCATTACCTCTGGTGGAAACTCTTCTTGCCATTGATCCTAATGAGCGAGGCACTGCCACTGCAGCTTTACATAGTGAGGTAAAAGTTTACTTGCTCCACTTTCCTTTTAATGCATGTTTACTATTAATTGCTCCACTTTCCACTTTCTGTATCTTATTCATTTTTAAAAGATATAACCCTTCTTTCTAAGTATCCCTAATTCTCATCTCATTTCTTCTACTCATTCACCTTTTCTTCACTATTCACTACCCCTGCAACTTTACTCTTATTTTTAAAAAAAACTACTGAAGGCTGGAGCTAGTAAAAGTGAACGGAGGAGCATTATTTACAAACTGAGATTAGTATTAATCATGTTTATGAGTCATAACAAGGAACTGTATGGTTTCTGATCTTTGGCATATGTGGGACAGTTTTTTACTAGTGAGCCATATGCGTGTGAGCCATCTAGTTTGCCAAAGTATCCTCCAAGCAAGGAAATGGATGTAAAGATGAGAGATGAAGCGCTCAGAAGGTTTTCTTTCTTTCTTTCTTAAACATTTAAAAGTAAGTTCTATACATTGGCCAACTAATATTTATGCCGGATTCTTGTACCCTGTCTTAAAACAGGTTAAGAGGTAGCAATGGGAAAGCACATGCAGCTGATGGAACCAGAAAAGTAAGAGTGCGAAATAAGGTTAGCCGGGCAATTCCTGCTCCAGAGGCTAACGCAGAGCTCCAAGCCAATTTAGATGTAAGTGTGGCGTTTTCTTTCTCTCTCTGTGTTCTTTAATATCAATTAATGATAATGATATACTGAGTACATAGTAATGTGCTACACAATGAAAAGTTTATATGTTTTGCATTTCAAGTACATAATTTCTCTCTCGGTTTAGAGCTTATTGGTTAGAGGTATGTTTTTCTCTCACTGCTAAATTTTATTTTATGAAAGTAAAAAAAGTTGTCATTTGGGACTCAGCCTTGGATGTTGTTGTTGTAAAGGAAAAAGTTTTGTAATATGCATCTAAGCCAAATAAATAAATCAAAAGTTGCTTTATTCTGACTCTTTTTTAATGTCTTCTTTCACATTCACTTCTTTTCCTGCCTGATTTGTTGCTATTCATTCTATCCCCTCCCTTTTCACCTGAAAAGAATTATTGATCCTCTTTTAATCTTGTTTGATCCAGAGGTGGAAAGTTAGGACACATGCTAACACAAAGAGCAAGAGTGAAAAATTCCCACCACCACATCAAGATGGGTACATTGATGCCGCTAGCGGCCCCTTATCGTTTGGTGCGCCAGATGCTTCTTTTGCATCATCAAATTTTGATGCAAAACCGTTACATTCACTTAAACCTACTAACTCAGCCATGGCCGGGACTTCAAAGAGAAGGAAAAAGAGAAGAGAAGAGACTCCTCATATGGCTCCCGCCCGGAAGTTCTTCCATACATTTCTCCCATCTTCTGTATTGGACATTAAAGTTAGGGGTAGAACTTCAATTTCAGAGATCATGGGCCACTCAATGTAGATATGTATAAAGTGATTTATGTTCTGGTGATGCATCCCAGTTTGTTGTATTGGTCTCGATTGTTCTCTCTTTTTCCTTTTTTTGGCTTTTCATGTATATCCAACAATTTTGTTTACAATAATATGGTTAGAGTATAATTTATCAGAGTATATCACTTTCATCTACTTTTATTGTCACATACATAGAAATAGATATGAAGTCTCAAGTATATGTTGCTTGGGGTGCACCCGGGCTTGTCCCGTTCCAATTCTGGACTGCCCAGTTTCCAGTAACCTTGTAAATGAGACCAGAATTTCCATGTGAGATCCGGCTTCAGTCTTGGATGGGTGTTATGTTCTGCTCTTGTACTTTTTATAAAGAATGCAAACAACACTCTTGGATCTATTGTGACTTGTGAGGAACCATACATCTATTGAGCAAGTTTGACTGCCGGTTCCAGGTATATTATGAGATCGGCGCTTCGTGCACACAATACTTGGAGCAAGAATGGTATAAGTGTGGACAAATTTTGTCTAAATTTATGGTGCTAGTTTCAATTACGGTCACTTTATCAAACTAATCAAAGTATTTGATATATTTCCTCACTCTTTTTTAGCTACCTCACTTTTTATGAAATAAATGTCACTTCATCTTATGAGTATTAGATTCATATTTGACTATGTGCACTTATGTACATGACTATTTGGCCTTTCGGTTAAATTTCCGATGTTTAAAATTGTCGGGCCAAAATTTGCCCGGAAGGAACAAATTCATGTATCAAATTTGAGTAAAGTAAATAACATGGATATAATATGAAATTGGAAATTTAGTAAAATATTCATATGACCGCAAGTAGAATTAAATTCTCTGAGAAATTATTATCGGTAATGAAAGTCATATCATAAATATTTTTATTTTTTTCTTCTGTATCGTAATCTGTTATTTTTTTCATAGATTCTTTTACTTTTTTCATTTTTATGCTATTCAAAAATATAGATGCAGCTTATAGATGCAGCAAAAATATGAAGTGAGGGAGCATGAGTTTTTTTTGTTCAAGTACAAAAATCCAAAAAGGGATATACAAACTACAAAGCATAATAGTACAAGCCTACAAGGTAAGGTAAGCTCAAAACAATTTAAAAAGTAATACGGGGTACTTTTTATTGTATCTTCTCTCGCAATTCAAAACCAAACAAAAGGTATTGACAAAAAAATTGATACCCTGAGTTATAAAGAACTCAAATATCCACAAGTATAACAATGTTTTTTACCAAGAAGAAACCTATTGTTGACAAAATTTTATTTTTGATAGTTCAGTATTAAACAAGGTACCCAACTTATCCACAAGTATTATACTCCGTAATAATAAAATAAGGGAAGGGGATTTTATAACTCTGTTCTTTGTAAACTTGTAACTAATCCTAGGCCGTGGCAGCCGCCATTGGAACTGATCTGTAGCATGCCCTTTTTGCCGCACGTACAATGTCTTCTACCTGTTGAGTCAAAGGTTCTGCTTTAAGTTGTCATAGGAAAGGGAGTCACACTCTCTCTTGAAATATGTTTATGTAGCACACTGAATTTGTACTTTTAATGTTTGGCACTTCAAATAAACCACCCCACAAACACAACTTAGAAAAATAGGCAGCATCTATTAAATGACGAACGCCTTTTGTACAAGCTGGAAGCCTTGCACATCATTTATACGCCTGGTTTTGTTGGTGCACATACAATTTTTTTTCATTCCGCAGACAAATTGTTTTGTCTGCCACAAATAAATTTTTGTGGCAGACAAATTTATAAAATATATAAATTATTTAGGAACGGTGGATTGTTTTTTGTCTAAAGGTGGATTGTTTTTATGTGTCTAAAGGTGAATTGTATTTATTCCCGTTCTTAGAATTGTGTCTAAAGGTGGATTGTAAATAAATTCCCGTTCTTATTATTAATTTATAAATTATTTACAATTCACCTTTATAAAAATTTGTCTAAAGGTGGATTGTTTGTGCCGCAGACAAATTGTTTTGTCTGCCACAAATAAATTTTTTTGGTCCGTGTCACATACAATTCACCTTAGGAAATGAAAAATGTTGTCTGTGCACGGACAAATACGGGCGTGTACACATACCACTTTTGTACCATTTTGTACTATTAATGGTTCACTTGGAATTCAGAAAATGCTAGGAAAAGAAAATAAGCTATAAAATAGATAGACTTGGAAGGAATGAAAAATTATGTTGGAAAACTAAAAAATGGTTCAATCTCAATAAATCAAATTTAGATGCTTGTTCGAACTCGTCTTATCTCTACACATTTCTACTTTATACAAACATATATATTCTAAAAGGCAATGTAATCAAATTTGAATCTCCATCTTTTTCAAGGTAAAAAAACATTTCGCTTGGCAATTTTGTCTCCATTGCCTACCTTTTCTAGGTTCCAAACATATCCTAAATAAAATGGAATATGGGGAGCCCAAACCTGTGGGAGAGCCAATCTTTCAAGATTTGCTGCATAAGGCATAGGAACATCTGCCCCGGCTATCCTTTCAATTGGTGCATCAAGGTATTCAAAGCTTTCCTCAACTACAGATGCACTGGTGAAATGAAATACAGAAAAATTACACAGAAGATAGAATGACAATGATATTATAGGAAAATAACAATATTAACATAAATAAATACTCCCTCCGTCCCTATTTAAAAGTTTCACTTTCCTTTTGTGGATGTCCCTTAAAAAAGTCCCCTTTCCTTATTTGGTAAACAAAATAGTGCCAAACAGTGCCAAAAGTATCAAAACAATGCCAAATAGTGTCATTTCCTTAATATGTGTGCAAAAGAGAATGAGACTTTTAATTAGGGATGGAGGGAGTATATAATAAAATTTTGGAGGTCGGGGCTGATAAGGTGGGAGCGGTTACCAGATCTCAGCGCCTACACCATGTTGAGGAAACCCTTCCTCAACTGTCACTAGTCTGCTGGTTTTCCGAACAGACGCATTGATGGTAGATCTATCAAGTGGTCTGATTGAGCGCAAATTGATAACCTGATGATCACAAGTGAATGAGTTAAAATACAATAGAGATATGAATAATGTAAAAATATGTAATCCTGGTTTAAGATATTAATAAAAGCATAATAATACATCCTTCAATCCAAAGAAACAAAAATGGAAAATGGACTCTTGAGTACCTCAGCACTGATTGATTCCTTCGCAAGAACATCAGCAGCCTAAAAAAAGTTAAAATTCAAATTCAGATTCAAACAAGATAATGAATTTCAGTATCTGGCAATTGTTTAAAATTCTCTCAAATGCTTGTATAAATTTGCAACTGAGGTATAGCAAAATATTATCCTAGTCACAACAACATATGATAACAAAAGTTAAAAGGATCATTTTGGAACTAAACGTCACGGAAAGAAAATAGTGAGGAAAAAAGAGAGTAAATATGGGAGCAAAAGAAATTTGGGGGGGGATTAAAAAAATGGAGTCAATAAATAAAGTCAAGGTTGTTAAACTAGATATACTAGCATGGATCTGTAGGGGCTTGGTAGATTTGTATCTGACAGATCGTAAAATCTCAAACTCAAAGCTATCATTTAATTTTCTTGATTAATTCATTAAATTAATGACTTAAACTCAAACACATGTTGGGTAAAGAATGGCAAACCTTGAGAGCATAGCCAACCATTTTAGAGAAAGTAGTGATTGTAACATCTTTTCCTTCACGCTCAATCTGTAAAATGATTGTTTTAAGTGAAAGAACACAACTATATCAATCAATGACCAGAAAACTAATTTTTGAAGTGTAGGAGTGGACTTACTTTTGCTCTTCCAATTGGAAGACAAAAACTAGAATCTAGAACTTCAGCTGAAACAGGAAAGGACTCGCCATATCTGGAGCAGAGATGCTTGATTACCAGTTTACCACTAAAACAGATCAAATAGAAAAACTCCACACCATATTACTTACAGCAATTCATTTTCAAGAAAAATTACAGGATCTGGGTCCCTAATAGCAGCTTTGAGAAGTCCTCGAGCATCTTCAGAAGAATATGGAGATAGTACCTTCAGTCCTGGGCATGCAGCAAACCATGCTGCATAGCACTGCAATAGATCTCATCTATAAGGTATAATCTGGCAATTTTTTAGAATTCTTTCAAATTCTTGTATAAATTTGCAACTGAGATATAGCAAAATATAACCCTAATCACAACAACAACATATGATAACAAAAGTTAAAAGGATCATTTTGGAACTCACAAAACGTCAGTGAAAGAAAATAGTGAGGAAAAAAGAGAATAAATATGGGAGCTATTGTTAAAAAGGAGTCAATAAAAAAAAATCAAGGTTATTAAACTAGAAATACTAGCATGGATCTGTAGGGGCTTGGTAGATTTGTATCTAACAGATCGTAAAATCTCAAACTCAAAGCTATTGTTTAATTTTCTTGATTAATCCATTAAATTAATGACTTAAACTCAATTTTTTTATAATTCACCCAGAATAATAATAACCAATAAAAAATAATGTAACTTCATAACCATATAAATTCCTAAAAGAACATTGTAACTATAAAATGAAAGACTTAAACAACCAAATAAAAACAAATTCAAAGACAAATAGAAAAATGGTTTTTTAGAAGTAATAGAATTAGTGGGAGTTAAACAATAAACAGTGATTTGCAGTTCCAATTGACATGCTTGGTTAGTTTCGATTAAGCCATCCCATTAAACAGAAAAATACTACAAACTCAGAGTTTCTGAAACTCTAATAGATTAGTAAACGGGTTTCCCGATTCTTTTTAATCACGGAACAGGAATTTGAAGTTCCCGAGTTCCTAACCCGCTTCCAAGTTCCCAAGAACCCTCAGAAGTCTCCGTACTTCTTAGGCGTGAAGTTATACCTGGGAATGTTGGGCCCCAACACCAGCTGCAGCTCCATTTGGTCCTCTGAAAACAATAGGTACAGATATCTGTCCAGATGACATGTAGTTCGACTTTGCAGCAGAATTGATTATATGATCAATTGCCTGACAAGGATACCCCATACACAGTGTCACATCTCATAACAAAAAAATGCAGCCTAGGAAGGACTGATGGATAAGAAACTCTGCTTGGAGAAAAAGTCAAATAATTGCTCATTAGGGAAAAAGGAAAATGAAAAAAGGAAAAATGTCGAACCTGCATTGAAAAGTTAAATGTCATGAATTCTACAATAGGCTTCAGACCATAGTAAGCTGCACCTACACCAATACCTGCAAATCCCGCCTGGGAAAAAATTAAACAGTTTAGAATTGAATGTCAGATAAAAGATTCAACAAGTAGCTAGAGAAAAACTTCAAGGAAAAACCTCAGTAATAGGCGTATCCAGAACCCTTTCGGGGCCATATTTGTCCAAAAGCCCTTTAGAGATCTTCAAAAAGTATCACCCGCAACAAGAATGAATTGTGAGCATGCAATGATGCATAGAGAACAGAGTAGAATGACAAAGAAAGCAAATTGAACAATTCAGACCTTGTATGCACCCTGGTACTCCCCGACCTGTGTCAATATAGCAGAAACATAATAAATCAGGACAGGATAAGGCACAGAAAGTCAGAAATTGAAAAGTGCATAATACATAGATGGAGTACTATAAGATAAAAGATAATTACCTCTTCACCCATTAGAAAAACCTTAGGATCTGCAGCCATTTCTTCATCAATGGCTGAATTTAAAGCATCACGCACAGTCATCTGTGATAGTTCTTAAACTTCCATTTAGTGAAACTTAGGAATACACGCATAAAAGACCAAATTTTTGAAGAAACATAAATAAAAGTATAAAACATACCTCTTTTGCTTTAGAAGAATAAGCTCTAGATGCAAACAGACTACATCTCATCAAGGACTGACTCAAACTCTAAGAACATAGTAAATATAAAATAAAAACATTAACCCGAACCCACATCAAACATAAACATGAAGAAATGAAGAAATCAAAATCTAGAGCAGAGAAGGCTAAATGAAGCGATAATTACCGAAGCATGAATGTATCCGGAAGCAAATTTTCGGCCTATAAATGTCGACATTCCCTTTTCTTCTCGGATTAGCACAGCCCTGATCGACTGAATCAACAAACACGCAAACAAAATTACTCCATTTACAAACCTAGTCACCGTTGCAATGAACTACATAGTGGAAAAGGATATAGCCACGGATCATAAATGTGCACATGATACAAATACAAGATGCGCGAAAAAACAAATCTTTTTTTGGGAGAAAAAAAATCAAATCTTATTCACAAAAACATACGTGCAACTGAGTTTTCTTCCAGTTGATGGTGAATACAGTTGTTCGGGAATACAACCGCAACCGACCTAGATGATACCAGTATGAAGCAGTGATTTGATGGGCACTACTCAGACTTTGCTAATCGCGTTTATACCAAAAAAAAAGGAATTAGCTTCTTTTTCACATCGTAGTTAGGGGTGAGCATAACCCGAACCCACCCCAAAACCCGATCGGGTCTGGCCTCTTATAGTCGATTGGGTCGGTTGACCCGAACCCGAAAACCCGAACCGAAAAGCTCAACCCATGTTTTAAGGGTTATGGGTTACGGGTAGGGTATTATAAATCTTTACCCGACCCGCCCGAATACCCGAACTACCCATACTATATATACGAATTATTTAACACTAACCCTAACCCTAACACTCCAGCGCCTCCACTCTTCACTCGCAACTCCCTCTCTCGATCTCTCACTCTCTCGGTCTCTCCTACTGCGAGTCTGCGACTTCTCTCTAACCATCCCTGTCAACTCTCCGTCGTAGGTCCGACCTCTGTAGTCTATTTGTACCTCCGGACTCCGGTGGAAGCTTGTACTCCGATTTCATTGCCTCTTCGTACCGGGCTTACGAAGTTTGCAAGGCATTGTGGTCTTCTACTCTTGTGGTCCTGTGGATTCGTGGAAGCTTGCAACGCATTCGATAATTTTAATTTTTACTGAGGTATAAACGTTAAATACCTAAACTGTATGCTTGGTGGTTTGGTGGAAGCATGATCCATAAGTGTGATGTGTTATCTGTTTTGAATATGAATTAGTTGTATTATTTTGATGCACTGTTATGTGTTTGGTGGAAGCTTGAAACCCTAGATTCGGACCCCGATACCCTTTCTATGAACTACCTGTTAATCTATGATGCTTTGGTCATGCATATGATTATATGAATCTATGATTCTGAGGTTTTGATATAAATGGCCTCTGAATATGTGCTGCCTCGATGATGCTTGTGTGATTCTGAGATTATTATATAAGTGGCCCCTGAGTAAAGATGATGGTTGATTTATTATGAGTTCTGAGTCTTTTGACAAGTGTTGAAGTTGCCTTTTTCTACTCTAACACTCAAATGAGTAGTTAGAGTGAACTGGTATCTTCTAAGTCTGTAGAGAAGTGAATAAGCCTACTGCTTATATCCTTATGTAGATCAGCTTGCTGATTGTTCCAGACTTTAATTTCAATGTATGATGTTGTGTTCAATCCGGAAGCTTGCATTATTGAGTTTTTTGAACTATAACTTCCTACCATTTATCAGAATGGAAGTTGAATTTATGGATACCATACCTGCATCTGGCTCTCAACCTCCTCTGACTCCTGTTTCCCAAGAACCTATGATGGAAGCTCATGATGTTGGGGCTAACATCAGCACACAACAGACTAATGTTCCTGAAAATAAGAGAAAGGAGGTAGAGTCCAGATCTAGAATATGGGATCAATTTGAAAAGATCAAAGATAGTAATGGTGTTGTTGTCAAAGGAAAATGCATACATTGTGCTAAAATATACTGTTGTCAGTCTAAGAAGCATGTCACTTCCTCTCTTAGAAATCACATACTGAGTTGTCTGAAATTGCCTGCCTCAAAGGATGCTAGGCAAGCCCTTCTCACTTTCCAATCAGTCTTGTGTAATCCAACATCTGAAAAAACTGGGGTGTTAGGGACTTGGGTGTTTGATCAGGTTGCAATTAGGAGAGCACTTGCTGAAATGCTTATCATTGATGAGTTGTCATTTAGATTTGTAGACAGACAAGGATTTAGGAAGTTTATCTCTGTAGCTTGTCCTAAGTTCCAAATTCCTTCCAGATGGACAATTGCTAGAGATATCTACCAAATCTTCTTAGATGAGAAATTAAGTCTGAAAAGGTTGTTTAGGGAACACACTCAGAGGGTCAGTATAACAACTGACACATGGACCTCTGTACAAAGGATCAATTACATGTGTATAACTGCACATTTCATTGATAATGAGTGGAAGCTGAATAAAAAAATGTTTTCCTTTGTTCCTGTGACTTCCCACAAAGGAGAGTACTTAGCTAAAGCCCTAGAGTCTTGCCTAGTAGATTGGGGTTTGAAATCTATCTTCACTGTAACTGTTGACAATGCAAGCAGTAATGACACTGCAATTGGTTTTTTTTAAAAGAAGCTTTTATCTTGGGGTGCCTCTTCTGTAAAAGTTAAGTACCTTCATATGAGGTGTATTGCTCATATCCTTAATTTGGCTGTCCAAGATGGTTTAAAAGAAAGTGATTCTTCTGTTCAAAGAGTGAGGGATGTTGTTAAGTATGTTAGAAATTCTCCTGCTAGGCTTCAAAAATTCAGGGACATTTCAGACTTGATTGGAATGGAAACTAAAGCTGGATTGCACCTAGATGTCCCAACTAGGTGGAATTCAACTTATTTGATGCTCAAATCTGCAATGTCCAATGAAAAAGTGTTTGAAGCTTATGAGGAGAATGAGAGCTCCTATCTTGTTGATCTGGGGAGTGAGAGTCCTGATGTTGGGGACTGGATTGCAATTGAAACTTTGGTGGTCATTCTTAAATATTTCTATGATATGACAGTGATGGATAGTCTACCCGGGGGTAGCTTATCCGAGGGGTTATTACGGGGAATAACTAGAGAGAAGTCAGAGCAAGTAAGTAGAGAGAGAGTGTATTAGAAATGTGTTCAACGTTTTCAGCCTGGTTTACAACGGAGAAATGGGGTGCTATTTATAGTAGCAATAAATGCCGGACAGGGACACGTGTCAAGCGTCCAGTGGCCGAGAGGTCACCTCAACTGGTTGGCGCTGGCAACCGCATGTGGCCGCATTTAATGCGGCTGTTGGATGGGATGTTGTACTTTGTATGGTGATCCATATGCATGTAGAGCGGATATTATGTCGGAAAAGGCGCCCTCGGCTGTAGATGACTAGCCGAGGGCTCTGAGTACAGGGGACCCCCTTAGTGCTGAGGGCTACTGATTTTCGACGTTCTTCCCGGTGACTTTGTTTTCCTGTTTTGGCCCTTTTGTGAGGTTCAGAGCCTTCGGCCAGGGGGCCGAAGGCACCCCTGGTGCGCATTGTGGGCTGCTTGGTACTCTGGGCGCCGTGATTTGGGCCTGTTGTGCTTCCTGGGCCTATTGGGCCTTTATTGGAGTAGTAGGAGTCTGTGGGCCGGGGGTTCCCGGGCCATATACTCCATCAGGAGTCCCTCACTCCTTTTGCCGAAAGGTACTTGAGGGAAAAGGAGTAATTGTGTTTGTCCTCTGCCGTTGTTCCGTTGTGGGTAGTTTTCTGTTTGTTTATTCTGCCGAGGGCAGTCCCTCAGTTACCCACATGTCGGGACTTGAGGGGGCATGTTTGTGATTTTTGTGATTTTCTCGAGGGGGTCCTCCAGTCCCTCACTCCTTGAGGCACTTGCAAAGTGGTGAAAAGGAGTAGAGTAACCATGTTGCTGTTTTGGGCCGAAGGCTGACGCTTTTCGTTTCATTTTGGGGGGATGCCTCGTTAAAAACCTCATTAGGAAAAACCCTATGGGAAAAAATCCTAATGAGGGAAAAAGAGTGCACCGAATTCCCCCAATGATGAATCGAAAACGTGAAGCCCTGGTTCGAAATGGAGTACAATGCTGATGCCGAAGGCTATCGTTGTTCTGAGGGCTCATGTGTTGATTAGCCGGAGGCTTGCTGTTGATATCCTGGGAGGTACCGAAGGGGAGTCCCTCAATCTGGGGATCGAGGGCGTAATGAATGCGAGTAGTAGTTGAAGTGTTACCGGGGTGTCCCCTGTTTGTTGATTGGTTGGTGAGGAGGGTATCCGAGGGCTCCCGTTACCTGTGTGCCGTAGGCTATCCGTCAATGAGGCATACTCCCCGGGGGCTACCCGGCCCTCAAAGTGCTGAGGGGGGATCCCCAAGGGGTGGGCTTGATATGAAGCCGTGGGCTTCTGAAGGAGTGAGCCTGAAGGCATTTGTTATGTAGTGTGTGGGGCACAAACCGGGAGCGTCTCTGGGTAAGTGTACCCGGGGGCTCTTCTTGATGAAGTGGAGTGAAGTAAAAAGCCCGGGGGCTAGTTTCTTGGTTGACGAAGGAGTGGTCTGTCAAGTGTAGCCGGGAGCTCCCAGAATATAGCCATTGTGATTATAGCCGTTGGAATACCTAACGTCAAAATATAGCCGTTGGGGGGGGGGGGTTCCACGTGGTGTGTGCTCGTTGGCTGCCCGTGGGCGGGTGTCACCGATTGGTCGAAACCACGGTTTGTAATGATGGCAGTTCAACCGGAGGCCCGGTTCCCAGGCCTAAGCCCGGATCCAGGCGCCTATAAATACCCCATGGCCGGACACCGCTCCTCCTGTGCGATCATTTGTTAGCGAAGCTCTGCCGGATTTTTTCTAGAGAGAGAAACACTGCCCTCGATCTAACTCCTGCTTTAAGGTCAGTTCCCCACTTGTCCTTCTCCCCTCTTAGCTAGCTGTCTTAGCGGCCTTATACTTAGGAGTTGTAACTTAGAACACTTAATGTTTCCGAGCCCTCGAACCAATGGAAAGATGTCTTCCCAAAGTGATTCCCAGGACATATCGAGGGATCCCTCGATGGAAGAGGAGAGCTTCTCGGATGCGGGGTCCTCGAGCGAGCAACCCTCGGCCCAGGAGGATGTCGCGATGGCGATGGAGGTGCAGAAGGAGTTGGTGGCTGAAGTTGAAGCCGAGGGCTTCGAGCAAGAGGCGGAGGATGAGGAGCTTGCCCTCGCCGTACAAGTTACAGAGGAGGAGGAAGAGAAGGAGAGGATGAGGGTGACAGTGGCTGTTCTCCCCCCTCGGGGTGCTGGTGAGGCAGGGAGCTCTCGGCCCCTCAACCCGACGTCGATAAGAGTGGCCCCTGGGAAAAAACAGGAGAAGAAGAAAACTGCTCCCAAGAAGAAGTGCGTTGTTGCTGATCAAGGGAAGCCCATAGATGTGCCCGAGGGGTACTCCTGGCTGAATACTGCTGCCCTCGAGATAGGGTCGAAGGCTGACAGGGAAGATCTGTACGTGACTCAGCTGCACGTGGGGCCTTCGGCTGTGGTGGTGGCGCCAGGCCCTGATGATGTGCTTTCCCGGGCTCCCGAGGGTTGCATCGCCGTGCACATCCTGTCGGTATCAATGGGGCTCCGGTTCCCCCTGCACCCATTCCTTCGGGAATACCTTCGGTATGTGGG